CAGCTAATTTTATTTTTTAGTACATACGGGGTTTCACCATATTAGCTAGGATGGTCTCGATCTCCTGACCTCATGATCCATTCGCCTCGGCCTCCCAAAGTGCTGGGACTACAGGTGTGAGCCACCACACCTAGCTGCCTCTTCCAAACTTTCTGGAGTGGATTTTGTAGTGGAAGACTTTCACCTCTAGTTGAGTTTAATGTGCCAGTTGCGAAGATGTAGTGACTCTGTTTCCAGATAGGTGCAGTGCTATAGTCTCTGTGCAGCTTTTTCAGCTGCGTTCAACGTCAGCAATTAAAAAAAACAACAACAACAACAACAACAAAAACCATGGGCTGTTTGTGGCAGCAGTGTAGGTTGTTACTATCCTGTGCGTTCCATGTTCAGGTGCTTGGAGTGGCTGTGGGATGAGGGTCTTAATCCCAGGGTCTCTCAAACCTATTATGGCACCCGGGTCTTGGGAGGCAGGTTTGCTCTCTGTAGGAAGTCTGGATGTATCTTGCCCATAGAGTTAGGATCTGCAACCCTAAGGTACCCCCTAGGAGCTTGGGCCCAGAGGACTGCATTTAATTAATTAATTTATTTGAGATGGAGTCTCACTCTGTCACCAGACTGGAGTGCAGCGTCGCGATCTCAGCTCACTGCAACTTCTGCCTCCCAAGTTCACGTGATTCTTCTGCCTCAGCCTCCCGAGTAGCTGGGACTAAGGGCGAGTGCCACCATGCCCAACTAATTTGTGTGTGTGTGCGTGTTTTAGTAGAGACGGGGTTTCACCATGTTGGCCAGGATAGTCTCGATATGCTGACCTCATGATCCACCCATCTTGGCCTCCCAAAGTGCTGGGATTACAGGCATAAGCCACTGCACCCAGTCCCAGGACTGCATTTTATAACTGTGATTCTAACTCTAGTAGGGATGGGGGACAGGGCAGAGCACTAGCCTGACTCTGGCCATGAAATGGTGCTCTAGAGGTATGGGTCTGGGGATCAGGGCACAGCTGCAATTCAGGAACCTGAGCCAATAGAGCTCAGTGGAAACTGAGGTTCCAGGGAGTGAGGCACTGTGTAGTAGTGACTCTAGACCCTGGGATGGTGGGGCTTGGCAGTATCCCAGCCTCTGTGAGACCAGGTGCAGTGGCAGCAAGTAACCCAGAATAATGGAGCACAGTTGTCATTTGGGACCTAGTTTGGGGCAGGGAACAGCATAGTCATGATTTTATTCTCTAGGGAGAGGGGTGTCTCAGCAGCTCAGACACTAGGGGGACATTCCAGCCCCAGGGAAGCAAAGTGCTGGAGTTGTCTGGCTCGTAGGGTAAGATGTCTCAGCCCAGCCTGGGATGCACGGTCCTACCTCACCTCAGCCCAGAGATGCATAGCTGCTGAGATCGGCCAGGACACTGATTCCCTGGTGGGGGCAATGTGCCAGTTCAGCTCAG